GTCGACGGCTGCCCCTCAAACGGATGCCTCGACAACCCCATCCACAGATGTGACAGAGCCAGAACAGCCCCCAACTACGAGTCCCGCGGATGAGCTAAAGGAAAACCAGACTTCACCCACGAAAGCTGAAGAGGTCCCGAAGAAGGAAACGATAAAAGATAACCCAAAGGAGGAACGCCCAGTTGCTGCCGCCCCTTCAAGTAAAGAGGAACGGCCTGGTAATACCGTCACTTTAAATCCGGTGATGATGAGCGTTCTGAGCAGAGGAGAAGTAGTGCCATTGGAAATGTTTAACATCATGCCTACCACAGCCGAAGAAGCGTCCATGAAGGTAGCTCCGCTTCCTTCAATGACAGATGTTCTTTTGATAAAAAAGCAACCAGTAAGTCCCATCCCACCTGTGGCTGAGTCAGTTCCGAGAATGTCCGCTCCTCCTGCACCAACAGAAGCCGTTCAACGTCCCAGGATCCAAATGCCGTTGGCTGCGGAAACAGTCGAGGTGGTTCCCAGGCGTTTCCAGTCATTGCCACAAGAAATGCCAGCACGTGAATTTGTCACGAAAGTACCAATGAAAAGTCCTGTGGAAGCCGAAGTGATACCAACAAGGGCTCCCAAACTGCCTACAGCAAGAACTGATCCCGATAGCCCGAGAAGACTCGTACCAAAACAGACAGCTGTGAGACCACCTCCAAGGAATCTGCCGAGGCCTCAACCGAACAACCTCGAGGTACGACTTTTCCGATGATTTTGGGAATTTTTCTAACCTGATATTCAAGGTGATGAATCACGTAGTCGTGCCACGAACGCAATCGTCTGGCCCACCGCAACAGTCCAGGAGGTCTAATGGCCCAGTTAGAGTTAGGCAACCATTGCGACGTCCTCAGGTAAAGTGATCACCTTGGGTAAGCACTTCGCAGACTGAAGAATCTTTGGAGCGTTACAGAATCAAGCAAGGGTGCCGCTACCAGTTCGACCTCCTCCAGAAAACAATGCTCCTCCTCCACCACCACCCAGAAACACCCAGAAACCAGTCAATCTGATTGTCATTCAAGATGGGCGAGTAGTTGAGTTATCAGCTCAGCAGCAACGAGATCTCGCCCTGGTGCTAAGGTAAGTTCTTCGAACAGGTCTTTTCAGAGGAAAGCACAGCGCCGTTTAAATCAGGGTACGCATAAAGAGGCCCCTCTATGCAAAAGGGAGTTCGTTCGCTCACCCGAATTCCCCTACTCTCAAGCGTAAAACCCCATAAGTATTACTTTTGCAAGAGGAGTCCTCAAATGACCCACCTTAATGAACAGCGCCACTTTGCTGCTATTTTCAGTGCGATGACACTCCGACAAATGCAACGGACCTTCGACGAAGTGCACCCGATTTCCGTCAATTCAATGCCGGCTCAAATTTCCCTGACAACGCCCGAAGCGATTTCATTCTGATTTTATCTACTTGATGCCAAATCACATGTTGAATAATTTGTAAATAATACTTGACCGTTCTTAGTATATCGACGATTAATATAGATAATGAATCTTGCAAATGAGATGGAGGTCTTGATCACATAGAGTTCTTACTACACACATTAGCCGGCGTTCTTCGACTCGAAATCCCAATAGCCCCCAGTGCCAAACGGTTCTCATTGCCATTAAACCTCTTATCATAGCATTACCTTTCCTTTCCATCAGTAGCTCGTTTCGGACTTCGCGAGTGCGCTTCGGTCGCGCGTTGACGCCGACCGATGCCACGCTTCGAGTGCATTGATCGCGTCGCGCCCTGTCACGCGGCAGTCGAGCAGCTGGCCTTTGCGACAGTCTGAACGACTGGCCTCCACGTTTTTCTCAAATTGCTGGTCCCTTGTTTGGACGCACGCTTCGCTACACTATTCCAACCATGGCCATGAAACATAGGTGTCTACTCGTTCACCTCAAATCTTTTGTGCCACCGTGGCAACGCGATTGAGCCCGGGCTAAGAATCACAGCACAACAGCTTCCGGACAGCAAGAATTCATCACTTGTGGCGGTTCCCTCTTATGTTGCGCTCTCTGCGTACATAATGTTAGAAACGCTATGACCTCCCAACTTTTCACGTGAATCAAAGGAGCTCACCACTGTGGAGATCCCACATAAGTCCATTCCCTCGGCTCGTGTCGATGTGTATTTATAAATACCACCAATCACGCCGTGCAATTGCGTACTCACTGCTGCTACCGTAATCCACGTCTAATTCATATTCACACTGTGGCTACTTCGCCAATTGTAATTAAGCAAAGGCAAAGAAAATGGCTGTGATTGTGCCGAAGGAGATAGTGAAGATTCAATTTTGTTTCAAGCTTGTTTTTAATTGGCTTAATCACTGGCGCTTTTACTCCAGACCCTTTGCTAGTAGAGGATGCGCTCCTCAAGTCAAACCGATACTCATGGTTGTTATAGAGTGCTTAATAGTGTTGTTTCCTGGTCAAAATGCCAAGCGAGTGCAAACATGACTGAAGGGGAGGCGGGGGGGGCAACCTGGGCCAGTGCTTCGCGGAAATCGCGACGAAGGGGTCGCATGTTGCATGCAGGTAGTAGAGGGGATGGGGTCGTAAGTGCAGGTGTCACTACTGCGCAAAGCTGTGGCAAATAAGTGAAGCACTGTTTTTGTGTCTCGCCGTGGAGTGCCGTATTCAGTCTGGCTGCAAATTCATGATAAATTGATGTAGTGTAAATGAAACCACCACACAGCAGAAAGTGAAGTTAGTCTGAGTATGACAAGGGAACCATTAGTTGTACGGTAGGGCTGTCCTTCCTGAAGAAGTCCAGAGGAAAACTTCTATTTTTCAAGTTTGTCTAGTTCTGTGGTCTAATGGTAAGTTATGTTTGAACCAACCCATGTCCATGAAAAATCAAAAATTCGCTTCTACCGAAAATTCCTCGCGTTATCCAAGGACCGAGGCCGTATGAACACTTCTTTCTGTAGCGGGTCATACCATACGAGTGATTTTGCATTTGTAGGATCCTGAGGGCTTGCGATGCATAGTTCCTCCTCTTAAAAGAGACATGAGCCTAGGTTGCGGATCGCAAGTTACAGTTGGCGCAGCAGCCGCAGCTGTGAATTCGCTTTAGGCGTGTATTACGGTAGCAGCAGCGAGTACGCAATTGCACGGCGTGA